ATTATTATTATTATCATTAGAACCATTACCTTTCTGATAATTATCATTATCATTATGATATTATTATATTCTATTATTATACTATTATGATAATTAGAGTTATTATCATTACCATTACTATTTTTATTATCATTATTATTATTAATAAGTATAGTGATAAAAATAATAGTGATGATAATGATAATGTCACTGATAACTGAAATGAAAATGGTTATATCTATACTATATCCATATTCAAAGGAATACTTTTTTCTCAATAAATGGCCAAGCTTACTTTATTGTGTAAACATTTAACACATAACATTTTATTTTATTATTAGAAGTTCTATTGTCATTGTTGCTACTTTTAGTTTACCATTCTTATTATTGGAAATATTATTGTTCCGAACATTATCATCATTGCCATTATTATCATCATTATTATTGATATTATTATTATTATTATTACTGATATTATTATGTTTTTTATTGTTACTGACATTATTATGATTAATATTATTATTAACATTTTTTATGAACATAATTATTATTATTATTTTTACTATTGTTATAATTATCAATAGTAATGTGATAATATAATAATTATTATTGTTATCATCATTATTTTATGGTGATCTTCTTTGTTAACATTATCGTCATTTTTTTCATATTATTGCTTCTTATAATTATTATTATGATCAACATATTATTATTGTTATCATTATATTTATTATGAATGTTATCAGCTTTATCACTATTATCATTATATAAATAGTGATAGTATTCACAGTTATTGTTACAATAATAAATATTAACACTTCAATTACCAACAAAAATACAATGATTATAATGAAACTTTATTTTAAACGCTACATACAAGTTACCAGGACCATTAAGTAAGCAGAATCATTTAATGAGAGCACATATATCTAATTTATATTTAGATCTAAAAAAATGTTTCCTTGGAAAGCGATCAGAAGGCGAAAAGTGACTGCTACCTGTCCTGCTACCCGATTGACAATAAAGGAATTCAGAACATTGAGGAATGCTTTAAACATATGAACTGGGGCACCTTCCATGCCATGGGCTTGGCGTCACTGCTTTTATAATATTGGAAGATATATTTAGTGTGATGTTCATAATCATACCTTGATTACATATTTTGTTATTAATAATACGCATAGATAGTGACATTTAATATATATATACATATATATACATATATATACTTATATATTTATATATATACATTTATTTATTTATCTATGTGGCATGAACAAGCATGAAATTTAAGGGAATATGAGAGGCTAATAAAACTACAGAATTCAGCATAAAACTCGCATTAAATTATTAAAGTTGTGGAATATAAGTGCTTCATTGCCCATTCCATCACATGTTTTTATTCCGGGTGCATTTGTTACATTCTTGAACGAAAATTAATTATAAAGAATAAACAAGGAAGTATCACCGGACTGTCGTGATCAAAGTCCTACTAAGTGAAAAGTAACTGCTCCATATCAATTAAGTAATTACAGTCTCTATAAGAAAATAGTGGAATGGTTACATTATCCGTGCATGACAAGTGACCAATACACACGTGAAGGCCAGTTACGAAGTGGATTCATGACCAAAAAAACATGGAAGTCTTTCCGCATCCAAGCTAAGCACGTGGCTGAAACGCGATGAAAGATGTCTTGGCGAATATTGTTAATGTTTGGGAAACGGTTAATGTGGTAAAACCTCCCAACATCAAGACAGACCATGCTAAGAGGGAATGGAAAGTGTTAAGTAGGAAAGCGGGACATCACGTCATCTCTGTCCCGGGGATTTAACAACGATAAGAATAACGATAGATAGTTCTTATTGTAATTATGACTGCCCCCAGTATTGGTCTTTCTTTTCTACAATTAATATTACCGTTATTTTTAGCAATAAAATGATAGTAAAATATCTTAGAAATTAATAACCACCATACCAATATATGAAAATTATTGAAGCCCCGCAAATACACAATAATGATAATAGGTAAAATAAAATAAAAATATGTAAAAAGAAATATCTATCTATCTATCTATACATATATTTGATATATATTAGGAGTAAGTTCGCAGACATTTTGTTTATTTTCCCTTCTAGGAAGTTCTAAGAGCCACCCTCAAGTTGAAACAACAAAATATGCTTTCTCTCGCTCAGCTGATCAAATGTGGGTAAATAGCATTCAGATTAACCGAAACTGAATTATGCATCACCAAGTATTGAGTTCCTATTTCTATACATACGTAGTTATGGTGATCCGTGAAGAAAGTATTGCAGAGGTTGGCCTTTTACGCATAGATGGCTTAACTCTAGTCATCTCTCTTCCTCTCTTTCCCCCCCACTCTCTTTCCTCTCTCCTCCTTTCTCTCTTATTCTCTCTCAACCTTTCTCGCATCATTTTTCTCTCTCTTCTACTCTCGCCCCCCCTCCCACTCTCTCGTCTCTCTTCTCTTTTCTTCTTTCTCTCTCTCTCTATGTATATGTG